TCAAACGACTATGAATTTGGTCAATGCTGGGGCCCGGAAATCGATAACGCGCCCAACAATCTGCACCAAACACCCATCATGTATATCCAAGACGGCATTCCCTGGCAATCAGGTCACACGCATGATCAAACTGAAGTTGGGCAACCTTCCGATATCACATCTGCCACCTGCTCTGCAGAGGTGTTAAACGCTGCAGTCGATTTGTTGATCTCAAAGGAGCACAAGCCCAGGAACGTTGTGGAATTTTGATGGGCCAGCTTTCGAATCACTTAAAACCCTCAGAAGGAAACCGACTAAAGGATCATGAAGTATACCCTCGTTGATGCAATTTGTTTTCTCTGCAACCGGGTCCCCTCAATACATTCCACAGTTCACATTTCACCTCTGGCGGTGCATTTCTCCTCCATTTCCCTTTCTCGACCCATAATTCCCAGTCTCATATCGTTTTCTTTATGCATCCTCCCTACCTCATCCTGCACTGTAACTACTAACCATCGGACAATCCTTTTTAGCATATGTAATTTGATACCCTTGCCCCAATGAATGAAAAACTATATGTTGTATGCACCAATATAAGATCTTTTGTCTTTTTTGTGCCATTGTGACTTCAAAACAATGGCTACTGGTCTCGGTTCGTTTTCTCTCTCATGTACAATTGAAAGAGTGTGTATTACTTGGAAATCTATAGTAACCTGACGATATATGATTCTGGCTAAATGGCTAAAAAAGGGGGCGATGCCATGCGTGCATGTAAGTTATCGGCTGATGTAAGAACATAATGTCAAGCGAGTGTGCGATGGATGACTATTGCGACCAGAAAGGACAATGAAAGAAAATAAAAGGAAAAATAGTCTGTGGGTGGCCAAGGAAGACAGACAAGAGTCACTGATTTGGCTGAAGCTCGGAGCTGGAGTAAACATTATGGACAAAAGGTAGAAGACACCAACCTGATTATCCCAAGAAGGTAGACAGTCGCCAAAGACTCAGTCTTCGAAAAGGCACGTTTGAGCGGCCAGCCAGCACACAAAGGTAAAGAATTTGACAAACCTTGGCTTATGTAGCCCAAATTGCCGTCAGTGTCATTGGGTTGAAAATGGCACTGTTGTATTTGTGTGACTAGGGCAGCGTAGAGTAGAGTCTTTGAGAATGCAGAAGATGAAAAGTGACCTTGAATGATAAGCTAGTGTGCGGGAGAATGAGGCTGTGCCCGACCTCCTGGGCCATCTTCATGGTCAAATGCGTGTAGATCTCGCAAGGGACGCACCCCAGGGGTGCGAACTCGACTATGTTTTCCATTCTCGAGGAAAAACAAGGTAAAGTGTAGAAATTTCCAATTTCCATAAATAGTAATTGTGGCCCATTCCTACTCTCAACCACCAGCCTCCGCTCATAACTGAATATGGAACGGTAAGCCATTGCCAATGTGCCTGGATTGTATTGATAGCGCTGCTTGTTCTTGAATCATATTTGATGGCACATACAGCTCGAGTAGGAGAGAGAGAGGGAGAGGACCAGTATTGTGGTCCCAGCGGAACAACTGGGGTTCACTCTCTCTCTCTCCCGGATGTTTATGTCTATGTGCTCTGAGTTTGGCTGTAAAGTTCCGTGACAAAACAAGAGATGTGGCTTCATGTCCTCAAAAGTTGTAGTACTAGCTGTTAACTGAATGTAACATGTAATGGGCAGGTTTGATACCACAGTTTGGGGGGGGAGTACACCTGGAAAGGTTTTGCCCACGACTGCTTGAGGATTTCTCGAAGCTCAGATCCTGACAAATGACGTCCAGATGAGCCAAGATCCCCGAATGCAGATGCATCGAGTGAAAGTAAAGAACGAAAGAAAATAAGAAAACCCAAAAGAACACCTCCTCAATGATCCCTCTCGCGTTCCTTCACGATTTGGTCACTGGCCCAACATGATCTTGTACCTTAAACAAGCCATGAACATTCCACCACTATATCTTGACTCTACTTGCCCGTGTTCAAGGCGGAGTTTTACCGACAGTTTCTCTTCCCAGCGCTGTCCAAGGCGCTCAGTAATACTGATATGTTCGTTACTTACAATCACCGAGGTTGCGCTGTCCGGGAATCGAGATGTACAAATCTTAATTGGATTTTGTCATTCATCCAACATAATGTTTGGAACTTGAACAGCTTTCCTATGAGTGCGCAGGTTCGAACCTGTGCACTTGCTCGACCCCTCTACCCAACCTCTACCTGTCGGTGTTTGAGGCTCTTCGCAGCTATTGGGCATCGGTGAGCGATTATTTCCAGATATGTGTATAACGAGGTCGAGGTTGATCTGTATACGTAAATAAACTGAGACCGTCGTCCAGGAGGAAACTCAAAATGCAGGATGGGCAATGTGAGGATGTTGAGAGAGAGAGAGAGAGTTCAGCGGCTAAAGGTTGATGACGCTACCACCGCTGACCCTCCTGCCAAGCTTCTCCTCGATGCTTATGTCACGCTTCAGTCATGCACGTTTGACACTTCAATTGTTTTTCCTCCTTTCATATGACTGTTGCAAGCGGTAATACATAGCTGATTTTCAAGATAATTGAATAGGATTGCAATCGAATCCTTGTATGACTTTGTGAGTTTGTGACGTCAGCAAGTACGGGCACTCTAATGTGACTTCCAAACAGTAGCACCACATCTCTCCTCTCTAACCTCTTCAATGAGCTATCGCGCAAGAGCGCCAGCTCCTGCTATTCCACAACGCATATCACGCTATATCACGTAGGTCATCATATTATCTAGTCTCAAGTATCTGTGGCCAGTTTAGGGAACAACGGATGTAAACTGCCCACGAGATCTTCTAGGAAGTTCCTTTTTTGGGTGAAAGCCTCCGAAATTGCAATCTACAGCCGAAAAAATGATGCTGCTTAACAGTTTAACAGTCCTTGGTCCACCTTGGTCATAAAACCTTGACTAACCTTCCATTGTCAAGACCTCTGAACTGTAAAGTCGTTGACAAATGTATTTCGCTTCTTCCATTGTTTTTCAACGGTTACCAATCCATGTACGTCATCCTGAACAGTCTCATTCCACGCTCACACATTATAATTATATAACTTGCAAACCCTAGGGTACAGATAGGTCTACCATTCACAACCATCCCACCGCCACAACTTGCAAAAAATGTCGTCCACTCAGAAAGCACTCATCCTCCCCGAAAAGTTCGGCAAATTCGTCCTTGACACCATCTCCATTCCCAAACCCGCTGCCGGCGAGTTGCTGGTGCAAGTAAAAGCCGCATCGCTCAATCCTGTTGATTGGAAGGTGCAGAAATACGGGATCTTCATCGAGGACTTCCCAGCGATTGTAGGATCCGACATCGCTGGCGATGTGGTTCAAGTTGGCGAGGGCGTTACCGAGTTCAAGAAGGGAGACCGGGTGTGAGTCTTTCACTCTTGCCATTCGTGTCGAAGCTGAAGGGGGGACATAAGATTCTTCCAGGGCGAGTTCGTGAAAGAACGTGCTGCCTACCAACAATATACCATCGGTAACGCTTCAACCACCGCCCGAGTACGCCCTCTTATCCCTTCCCTCTGCCCGTTCCACCAGCTCACGTGAGCACAGATCCCAGACAACATGTCGTACGACCAGGTCTCAACACTCCCCGTCGCACTATCCGCGTCCTGGGTGACGCTATACAACCAGAACCCGCATGGGCTGGGGTTCACGGCCCCGACCACCCCCGAGGCACGGGGAAAGTATAAAGGCATCCCTATCGTCATTCTCGGCGGGTCCAGCTCCGTCGGTCAATTTGGTGCGTACCCATTTCTCTAATCAGAGCTAATACTCAAACGTCTGCAGAAATTCAATTTGCGAAATTATCGGGCTTCTCCCCCATCATAACCACCGCATCCTTGCACCACGCAGCTTTCCTCAAATCCCTTGGCGCTACACACGTCCTCGACAGACACCTTGGGCCCGCGCCCCTCCGCGCGGAAATCGCCAAAATTACCAACCAGCCTATCAAGACCGTGCTCGACTCGATCTCGGTGGAGGTGACGCAGCAGGCGGGGTGGGATCTGCTCGCGCCCGGGGGCCAGTTGGGCACTGTGCTCCCGCCTACGGTTAAGGCAGAGAAGGAGAAGAGCGCGGTTGGAGTGGTCGGGGCGCTGAGTATGCCGGTTAACAAGGCGTTGCTTGAGACACTCTACCACGATAAGATCACTGGGTTTTTGGAGGAGGGGGTTATCAAGGTGCGTCGTTCTCGTTTTGGACAGGGGATCATTCTGAAGTTTCGCGGTTGTAGCCGAATCGCGTGGAGGTGCTGCCAGGTGGGCTTGCTGGGATCGTGGAAGGGTTGCAGAGGTTGGAGAATGGGGAGGTGTCGCGTTTAAAGCTCGTTGCTCACCCGCAAGAGACAGCTTGAACGTCGCATAGTAATTCAAAATGTATATTATCAATAAATCGACCAAGTGAATTAATTATTAGACTTCTGCAAATGATCTTTTGATGATGTTCATGAGGGACAGGTCGTTTCTCGCTTCTGCTTCTGTGGCAAACATTCGTCGTGCATTGAACGGACGTTGGCGGCAATGGTTTATGCAGAAGCTGACTGATCAGTGAGCTGACTGACAGATTACTTGGCACTTCAAATGCTTACCCTCATGCGAGTTAGCCAACTTATACATAGGTCTTCCAAGACTCACCGATCGCTGACTTACCGGTGGACGTCCATCGGAACGCCCGTACTCAATATAACGCTTCGGTAGAGTTTTCCAAGATACATACTTACTGTACAGCTGTTTCCGAAAACCTTGTCAGTCGCGTTTTTCTTTTGCTCGCTCGACTTTTGAGGTACACCCGCATTTGAAATATAATTCGTCAGATGGCTGCTAATTCAGCCCCTATTGTAGATTACTCGACTGGTAGACCTGTTTTCTATCGTCTTCACGCTTTAGATAGTACCAGTTTTGTTTCTCTGACAGGGAGCCACATTTGAGCCATCTTGTACCACAAGTGCCGTCCCTGCCGCGGTCACTACAGGGCGCTATAGCCAAGTGGTTACGGCGACAGATTAGAATCACCCCCATGGGCGAAGAACGATCTGTTCCTCTTTGAGGGCGCAGGTTCAAATCCTGCTGGCGTCGTGTATGTGTCTTTGTGTGAGAGAGAGAGAGAGGGCGACATTTTTTTGTACTGCTACGGAACGCATCACCCATCTGGAGTTTTGACATTCCGGACGTCGTCGAGAAGTACGCGATTGTCTCTCTCTGCAGCGTTTGAAATGGAACATTTGTATATCATCCAGTTCCTGTCGCTCAATTCGTGAGAGTACTAGTTACAAAAACATAGATCACGGTAGTTCTAAGTTAGTACTTATTGATAAACATTGAACATGAACTGGTTGTCATGCTTGAGACATGCTTCAGCCCAAGCTACCAATTCGTAGTCCCAACAATATAATCCTGCTGGATGATATTTTCTGGGATGAAAGATCAATACTGTTTGTTACTTTTGACATTTCTCAGCAATTGCTTTGACATACACCGTCGATTTTCTGTGAGCGGTGGAAGGCTGTGCCAAGCCGAAGCCGAAGCCGAAAGCCGTTGACGAATCCAACCAATTCCCAAGTTCCCATTTGCCAGTAAACTTCCTTCGTATTCTCCATCTGCGCTCCGTATGTTATCGATCCGCTGTGAGACTAACAAAATCAACTAGCCGGTATAAATGACCATCGCCCAAGAGACTCCTGAAAACATGGTTTCGACCTCCATCATTCCTCTCGAGATCGTAGAAACGATCATTGACATTGTTGCCGAGGATGACACTGACTCAGTCAATGCATGCTCGCTAGTCTGCCAGGCATTCCTTCCTCTCTGCCGGAAACACATCTTCGCCAGCGTCGTCTTGAATGGATCCATGAGGCCTCAAGTATCGCCCACCACTCGCATGTTCGAACGTCTCCTGTCCACCACACCAGATATCGCTGTTTACATCCGCAAGCTTCAATGGTGCGTTACCATTGAGGACTTCAAGCTGGTACGGTCGCTCCCGAAAGCCATGAAGCTGATCACTAGGCTGCAATCTCTTTATGTCTGGGTCTACGACCGGAACAGACTTAAATGGAGGAGCAACGTGCTTCGGCCGGCATTGGTCCACCTCCTCCAGCTACGCACACTCACACATCTCAAGTTGTTCGCCATTGAAGATTTCCCGTTGTCCGATCTCGTCCCGTGTGTTAATCTCAAGGAGCTCGAGATCGAACGCGTTCTCCCTGCGGAGGTGGACAACGGTTTCCCTTCCACATTACCCTATAAGCCCGCACAGCTTAATAAATTCTCGGCTGGCCGTCAAGCCGCACAAGTTACCACGAAGCTCATAACCGCACTGCGTCCTGATGGAATCGCAGTGGTGGACCTCACTGAGCTCAATAAGGTGTCAGTCAAGTGGGAAAAGGCCGATGCCGTTCAAGCAGCGTTTCAACTATTTAAAATGTCTGCGCAGCTTACAGATGTCCATATGTCTGGTACGAGACGCGAGCCTCCACGTTGGACGCATGCTTACCAGCTGCTCTATGTATGTAGTTCAAGAATCTTCGTTGACGTTGGCCGGCTTCTCCGAAATGGTTAGACCGTCGATGCAGACCTTGAAAAGCATCCATCTGGATATCCTTATCGACCAAGAATTAGGCAACGACGATCCCCTCTCTGGCCTTTGCCTCGAACTTGACCTGATGGAAGGCAGAAACGTGGTGGAGACGATTGAGATCGTTGTCAACGTTCAAACGGATTCTGACTGCAAACGAGGAGACGAATGGGGACAGCTTGACAAGTCGCTCACGAAAGCAGGATGGTCGACATTGAGGGAGGTCTCGCTGGAGATACACTGCTCAAGAGACTATAGAGAGGATGACGACCTGGAGGGTGCTCTGCGGATGTTGCCTGAGACTCAGTTTACGAGATTGACGTCGAGCAAAGCGGTTGATTTTCATTTCGCGGTCACAAATCATGCGGTTTGAGAATGGCCTCTCCGTCAATCGGCCATGGTTGGGGTAAGTTATTTGCTGAATCTACGATATGTCACTATCGTGCGACCAACGTAAGTCAATAGGAACAAGACGTCGATTTATTTTACCTTAGATGACATAGTTGGCTGCTGTACGAATTCTTGGGTATATAGACGAAATATAGAGGAGGGGGTTGAGAACTGTTCCCTCACTTCCCGTTGATTCGTAAGCCCGTTATGATGCCTTTGTACGTTTCGTAACGTCTATCGCATACAATTTGAGAATGTAGCAAAACGGTTGATGCTTTGTAAACTCGAAGCAAGGCCGCTGCGTACGTTCTTTTTGAATCCCGCTCATTAGTACAGTTCTCGAAACTTTCGTCAAACGCTTTCTCAGGTCTGAGTAAGTAACATCAATAGTTATCGCTCCGATCTAGTACTTAGCTGAGGATCTCAATTGTTCCCTTATGATTTGCTGACAGTCTAGCAATCAGTGGCATAGCTAGGCATTTTAATAGCATCACAGGCTGCTCAAGAAGGAAGTTTAAACGACCATGAGAGACTACTGCATTACAATGTTTCTGTCACTTTTTTTTGTTGCCAAAACCAGAAGACCCAGCTGAAGAGATCAAGTTAAAGGGACATGCGATCATTGACATGAAATAAAATACGATTTTTTCTTTCTTTTTGTTGCGGCTGGCCTCATCGTGTGTGTGTGTGAGAGAGAGTTCCATTGTTGTGGTCCCGAGGTCGGAACGACTGGGGTTTTTACTATATACAGGTCACAAATACCATGAGTTCCAGTATAATCAAATAAATTTGCGCATGCGGTGTATCCTTTTCCGTTGGTACGAGGAAACAAGAAATAATGTGCAATAAACGAGCATGAGCTCCTACCTCGTATCAGACACATAATCATTGAACAAATCGTGAAGTTATGAGTTGTCCATTCGGTCGAGTCCGTACATGAAACATGATATCAATCTAGATACATGTTGTTCGTAAATTTCGTGTAGATAGTCCCTCAGGTAGCAGAAGAAACTGCGCGAGCAAAAGCGCAGTCACAGTCCAAAAAGATAATCCGGATCTCCCACTACCAACTCAGATGAAAGATATCACAGACAACACAATACCTATGATGGACGCTCCAGACACCACTACAATTCTCTTGGCCGAGCTGGGGGTTTGCGTAGGCGCCCCGGCACCAGTCCCGGTCCCACCGGTCGACCCACCAGGCTTGGGTGTAGGGGTAGAAGAGACACATGTCCCGGAAGCTGTATTTGTCACCCGCAGAGGGCGACTGGGATCACTAGTCACTCCCACAGGCAGGCCAGTGATTTGGGCGACAGGAACCGTTGTACATCCTCCATATATATCAGCGCTCTTGAACTGGCTGCACGAAGAGCTCGTTGGGATCCTTGGTGATGGGGGGAAGTCTTGGTTTTCACCCGCGCACGACTCATACACGTCACGCTGGGCATTGCTGGGTGCGTTGCCTCCACATCCGATGGTGTCAAAGATGTGCTCACAGAAGCGAGCGTCGTCACGTCCGGCGGGGTCGCAGGCTTTAAGGCAGAAATGATCGTTGCCCATGAAGCTGCGGATTCGTGATATCCTGAGTCTTGGAAATCACCCCTAGAGAACGGGTACCTACTTATGCCATTGTTCGATTTGAACCCATGAGCCATTGAAGGACTGCGTGAACATTATTCCTCCCATGGGGTTTCCCCTCTAAGGCTTTCATGAGGTCAAAGGAACGTGAATGTAAGACCAGCGACGTACTCGATCCGCTCCGTGAGGGTCCATCTCACCACCAGCATCACCTTTTATCATATTGATTTTCGTCTGGTCCATAAATCCACTGACTTGTACATAGTCAGGGGTCTTCATAAACTGCACTCCCTGTAGCGTTCCGGGAGGTATGACACGCGCCCCATGCCCTGCCTTCGTGCACCATGCGATCATCTCGCCTTCAATCTCGCCGACAGTGTGGCCAGGCTCTGCAGGAGCCCAAAAGCAGAAATCTAGACGCGTATTAGGGATGAACTGAGATGATCACGACGAGTGTGCACGTACCGTCAAGTGAGTTAAACAACGCAGTTTGACAGAGCGAGGCCGGTCCTTCGGTCGTTGAGTTGCAGATGTTGTACCCTTTTTGATCGCCTCTGATTAGGCCAACATCGGTGTCGACCTTGTATGGCTGTACAAATTGAACAGACCAGGTTAGCAAGCATAATCTGACATAGTTCGTTGTTAGAGAGCCACGCACAATTCCACCGGGGTACGTGAATCGCTTCTGAGCAAGAGGAACAAACCCTGCAGGCTGGGCCAAGGCAGAGAGCGAGAGCGATATCGCTATCACAAGAGCCATTTTCGGTGAAAGAAAGAGAGTAGCCATGTTGAAAGTCGTCACACTCATAAATGAGAAAGAAGGAGGCGGGGAGTCTGTCGACCAACCAATGGCTCTATATCAACACCTGGCATTCTGGCCCTGTGCAAGACCCGCACGACTCTTGACAGTTTGTCGGCTAGAAAGCAGAAAGCAGAAAGGCGATCGTGGCGACTTCACTAAGGCATTCTTGGCAGGCACCTGCTTGATAACCGCCAGTAATTCCAGGAAATTCCCCGTCCGAGATTTGTCGTCGCCCAAGTCTTGGGCTGAACTCTGCTTCCTCATATATTTATCAAGTGCGACCAGGTGCGACCACCTAAGATAGTTCATACTTACATATAAATGGGCTGCTGTTGCAAAACGGTCAGTGTAGATATACCCCTGACAAAAAGTTCACGCAATGCCGCCGCACAAGCAATTACGAACTTACCTCACACCGCAGCCAAGCGTCGTACATGCGCGCATCCTGAACATGAGTATGTATTACGTGCCTGGACTTTTTATTTAGTGGCACTCTTCCAGGGAAATCTAGAACAGAGACATTGAACGGGTGCTACAGATCTTCGCTCACACCCATCCAGTGGAATTTAGCTCATCAATTGGTTGATTTTGGATTTTGGTTCTTCTTCCCTCCGGGTGGATTGGTTGATATTTGGTGAATATTCAGGCCCTACTCCAAGGTACTTGAACACAATTCGGAATCTCTCTGGAGTGTTCATCCCTTCGCATTCATGTACCGCCGTTTTCCTG